CAGCAGTCCAGTCCAGGTTGCAGCTAGAGAACCCTGTCACATCTTTAAATCCATAAAATAAAATTTCACATTACAGAGACTTGGAACACAAAAAATGTCAAACATTAAATTCTGAAATCTAGAAATTTTGTGGCCATATCCTATGAAGCAAGGCCCTTCAATAGTAAGAACCATATCAGTCTGTCTTTACTAAGTTCCTACATTGAATTACCTAGAATTCTACATACACACACACTACAGAAAAAAACAGAGTTGTAATGAAAAGTAATTTACTTTTAAGTACGGTTTTTATTTTGGTCATCATTGGCTGTACACTTGTCTCTCCATCAGATGGATGGTCACTCTCTCCTCCATATTTCTCATCTAGCCTCCTCTTTTTGGGAGCTTGAAGGCCCTCTTCCAGCAGAGCATCCACATCATTGTCAAAATCATCCTGAAAGAGACAGGGTCAGATACCATCCTTCTGTAACTACTACTATCTCTTGCTCTGTCAACAAAGAGTACAAATAATTTCTACATAGTTTGACTATAAAGTTAGATGAAAGATTCCCAATGCCATGGAAAGGAGACTGAAAACCAAGGAGGTACATTTTCATAAGTGGTCACTGGCTCAGCAACTGGTATTTCATGATAGTCTGAGAGGCCTCATTCAGTTGCTACATATACAGGCAGCCCGTAAAGAATCTAAGAAGGCAATATACCATAATACAGAGCTAAATTCAGCACCTTCTAAAGTCTTTTGCTGTATCATTCCCAAATTTCACAAATTTTAAATCACCAAAATGCTTACCATAAAGGATACTTTAATTCAATTAATTAAAGTTGTACAAAATTGACAGCATTTTCTTCTGTTGAAGAATTTAAAGCATTTTGGTCTTCAGGACTGCAAGCTCTTAAATGCGGTCTTTATTGCACATCTTTGCACAAATTTTTATAATCACTTGGCAAAAATTATTTACATACCTCATAAGAGTAATTCAAGGTTTCTTCATCCACTTTATCTCTTTGAACGATTGCTTTAGATGTGAACCCTTCTCCTTCATCAATTTCCATCAAATTGTCAGTAAAATCTTCTAACTCATCCAGGATAGCATATTCCACTCTCTTTTCCTGATCAATATCATTTTCATCATACTTCTTGCCATCATTTTCACCTCCTACACCTACAGCTTTACCACTACTACCACCAAAAGGACAAACATACAAATCCCCATTGACATTATTAATACTAAAATCTGTATCTGGCTTATAATCTTGCTCAGCTCCAGTGTACAGAACTTTTCTGTCTTTGATTTGGCAGCTTTCTGTAAAGCTAACACTAATTTTTACATCTTTAAGTAACTTAAGATCAGGGATGAACTTTCGAACTGAAGGTGCATGACGAGCAGTTCTTGGACTTTGGTCACTATTGTTAGGGTCTATTATAAGACAAGTTTTGTAGCAAGCAGATCCCTTTGTTAGAAGCTGTGTTCTGCAGACGGCGTGTGTGTCCCTAGCAGGTGTATCTGACTGTCCATCACCACCAGAGCCAACGTCCATTACCTCTGCATCACTGGACGTTTGCAGGGGAGGTGGTGGAGGCTGTTCATTAGGCGGCAGAGGTGGGGGACAAGTATGGTTCTCCACATTCATTTCTCTTGCTGGTTCTTTGGGGAGGGGAGGTACATCTTCAGTTTTCTCCATATTCAAACTGTATCACTACTGTTTTAAAAAACAAGGCTTTGAATAAACGTATATAATCTATATCCTAACATGTACAAGTCCATCAAGATAGGTTTATCATGTTCTATTCAATATGCAACACTGATGATTCAGTTAAGCTGACTACATTGTTCTTTTCATTAATGTAGACAGCTTTCAGAATCACTGTCTCAATTATTGGAAATCACAATGCATTCAGCTTAATAGCTGAAGACTAAGTAGAGTGCATCTTCACTGAATAAGCAGGTCTCCTTTTCTTCTTTCAACCTACAAAAAGAAAAAGATTTGTCACAGAAGAACTTGAAAGGCAACTGTCCCATTCATCAGAGGTGAAAATGGATTTCGTTCCGTTCCACTTCTATTCAATTTCCAACTGGTCGTAATGTTCTTTTTACCAGAATTAAGAGTTTTCATTGCTTCATTGTTTGTGTGCCAGAATCACATTCTGCCAGCACAGTTCTAGGAAAACCAATCATTAATGTGCCATGACCAGCAGGTGCAAAGCACTGATTTTTAAACAGATCAGATAAAAACAGCTGGTGTGGGTATTAAGTATCTTAGTAACAGAGTGCTATCTATAGAACCAAAAGACAATTAGTTTGCAATGTTAAAGCAGGCCAAATGTTAATTCTCCATTATTTGACCATATTCTTAAACTACAGTAGATTATTTTCTTCAGTGTCCAACTCACTATTTGCAATACAGGTTGAACCTCCCAAATC